TTTGGAGTCACTAGACAACAGCGCCCGCCAACGTAAACAACAAGTGAGCAAGGTTCTACCAACACGGTACCGTTCGCTGAGGTTATGGAACAAAACAGCTACAAATAGCACCTCCAGGAAACGAGCTCAACGCCTCCCCATAAAGAAACAAGGGATTTGTCTCATTTGCTAAACCTGTTCTCCTGCAGCCTGCAGCTTTGGGCACTTCCCCAAAAAAAGCAGAGGGGGGCCGCCCGAAATGCAGGCAGGGCTCTGCCCTTCAAAACAGGGCAAAAACAGCCCTGCCTATCCCTCAAAGGGGTCTTCCCCCCCTTTTGCCCTGTTCCAGGCAACTCAAAGTGGCACTTCCGGGGCCGCCAGAAATGGAGGCAGGGCTCTTCCCTTCAAAAGCTTCTCAAAGTTGTCTTCGGCTTGGACATGCTTGGACGTTGCGCATCGAAGCTCTGCAGGCTTTCCCCCCCAGGGCCTGTACGGCTGAAGAAGGCTGGCGCTGCCACCCAGGAGGTTCCTCGATAAGGATTGCTTCTCGAGGCTCCGGCTGTCCCGTAACACGTACCGAATCGGTGCTGAAATGGTCGATCCCCAGAAGAACATATATATATATATATAACAACTCAACAGGCGGCTGCTGCTACTTTTGCGGTTGGGATTGCCCCTTACCCTCCAATTATCTGGACTTTGAGCCTGTGGCTCACCTGTGTCGGATGGTTTAGAGGGGACAATCCATTTCTCATTCCCTGCCTATCGCATTGGCAAACAAAATGCCGCCCAACCCCCCCTATTGGTGCGGCTCTCGCAAAGGCTTGCGCACCAAGATCTGGGGCCTTGAAAGAGAGGCGACCGTTTGTTACCCAACCTGCTTTTTGGGCGCATTAGGTATCCCAAATCGGTCGCGTTGTGATTTGGATGCAGCCACCCCCTGAGCACGTCAAGCATCAGCAAGTTGAAGCAGTGCCAGGCCGTCATCACCCACCAGACCTCGATCCAAAGACGAGGATTACTTGGATTGCAATCCCCGTCCAGCAGAGACCGGATACCGTACCGCACCCTTCATTCAGTGCTCTGTAAAAAGAACAAACGACTCACGGACAAAGTTGGACAAGCTCAACCAGCACAACCACAGTTCCCTGGTCTTTGGACACACCAGCAATAGCGCGCAAATGACCCAGCGAATGCGGACACTAACAGTAGCCACAACACCAAGACTCACGCAACATCCGACTCCATTAGGCAGCTACAGGCAACTCATTTGTTTGAAGAATCTGTAGTCATTCTCCGAATGTTGCTAGCAGGCCCACTATTTGTCTGCGTTGACGCCCTTCTTGCCTTCTTATACTGGGAAACATTGAGCCAATCAAGCGTATCTCTGGTCCAAAGGATCTCCAGTTTTCCCTGCAGGGGGGAGTTGCCTTGCAAGCAGAACTTGACCTCGAAACAAACCATCAGCCCCGTCTGGCACGAGGCTCGATGGACTGAAGGCGACGGGACCTCATTGATTTAAACTCTTTAGTATAATTTGGCTAAGAGTGTTGACCATTGGCCATTAACTCTTTAGTATCATTTAGTATCTTTTGTACCATTGGTGTTGACCCGCGGCCATTTAAGTGATCCCTGAGGATGATATGATTGGACGGAACTCAGGACCATGTTTAATGTGTTCTTTGGACCCTCGTTGAACGGCGCAACTCACGAAGAACAAAGAACAAACAAGGGTCAGAACTCTGACCTGCTGCCAGACTCCATTTCAGCGCGCATCTACGGCCACCTGTCCTTGGGGCCCAAAACCAATCCTGTACAATGAGGCCTTCAGTTTGGGCCTTCGCAGGGAAATCGTGCCTTTGGGGTCTCAGGGTGTCGAGAACACTTACAGTTCCCCCTCTGCCGTGCACATACACCAAAAATCACATGAATTCGATAAACTGGTAGTTGGCATATCGTCAAAAAGATGTGAACAAGGGGCAGCTGATTGGAGGGACTGTACCCGGGTAAAGCACTTTGGGTAGATCACGTGACAATGGGCAACAAAAGGAGACGGCACTGATGGTTGACTTGAGAGAAGACTCCGTCCCAAAAAGGAGCAAAGGGCATCGCTGAGCAACCGTACGACCCTCCGGGAAAAACATACACACACACACACACATACTCTTGTCCCAAAAAGCCAGGGCTAAACTGGGCCACACATAACCACTCCAAACTGACCATAGACTACCTGTGATTTAGTCACTTACCGTACAACACCCGGTTAAACAATCGATGAAGGTTTGGGTGGCTGTTCAAACAACAATCCACCGCACCTTCGGCCGAGGAAGCGGCGCGCGGGCGGTTCAACTTGTCGGCGCATAAGGTGCCGATGCTCAAGATGACGCAGTATATCGCGAAAAGGTACAAGTTGCTGATGCCTGCAATGCTGTTTACCCAGTGGCTGGTAGAAACAGGGATCAGACAAGGGGAACCGACCGAACAACTCGATTCAATGCTGTCAATTCACTATTTCTATTTGACGCCTGGCCCGATTTTGAACAACAGCTAGTGTTAAGGAGCTGTCCCTATTGAGCCGGGGTTCTGCTCTGCCGCGGTAGCCCTCTGACTCTTTCCTGGGGGGTTGGTATTAGTCCGCGGTCAGCATAGCTTTCGCATGGCTTCAGGGAGACAGGGGCGCCTTGTGCCTGATGGTATATACATGGACACCAAGGTGGAGATTGTTCTGGTTCCTGTCTGCTTGCAAAAGCTCCAGCACAACTCCCGAATGAACATGGCGTGACAATGTGGCAATCGGGCATCTTGAGTTGGTGAAGGGGTCTGACTCTGCGTAGCATCTCGAACGGGCTGCCGGCGTTTCGTCCAAGAGTGCCTTTTTTAAGCGGCTTTTCCACTACTTCCCTGTTTGTAGTTTTTTGGAGCAGTCGGTTTGCCTGCCCGCTGTTGGCAGATTCCACGGAGTATCAGTACGTCTAACAAACGATAGCGGTATCGCGCACATGCACGACGGCATGTGGTAAGCATCTGGGGTCCTTTGGCAACGTTTGCTCTTGTTGGATCGGGAAAGCGCCGCATTGTAGATGCAGCTCCGGCAAGTCTTGCCAAGCGGCTGTAGTTGGACAGCAGGAACACCGAGCTCAAAAGAATGATCGCCAGTGACAGCAGCGCCCTGAATGCCATTGCAACAACTCAGTATGCTGCTTTAGCAATGTGCCTAACCAAAGGAATCAATTCACAAGGCCGTTTTACCCACGAGGTCGGCAGTGGAATCTTGCTCTGCCTATCTCTCTCTCTCTCTCAAATGGGCACCAGATTTATTGCATTGCCATCATCAAGGCTCTTGCTTAGACAGACCCCATGAAATGCGAAGGATTCAAGCAAGCCCTGCTGGACTTGGACTCATTGCGTGATAGATGAAACAAGTTTCTCATGTTGTCCTGACGAACCAGCACCAGTAGGTTCATGGAGCAGCTTGCCACCTATCACCTTCCCAATATTAAAACCTGGAGGAGGAACTGGTCTTCATATGTGACAGGCTGGGACATGGCATTTTTGCTGAACAAATAGTGGTCCCAACGGGTCTCAACGGGAACTCTTCAAGTGCTGCCCATTCACTGCAAATTAGCAAGGGATCCTTGTTCTTTGTCATTTGCCCGGTCGTCATGAGAAACTAAGTTGTACAATGCGAAGTACCGGTACACACTGACAAAACGCACGGGCAAGCTCCAGATCGTCCATCGAATGGCATGTGTTAGATTCGTTTGCCTGTGTTTCCCATCAATATAGACACGGCTGATAGCCTTCAGGAAGCCCCATTCAATAATTGCGCGAACGGCGTATTGCGGACAACAGTGTAACAAGGGTTGAAGAATTCCGGGGCCCGTTCGTGTGGCGGGTCGGTCCTGGCTTTTGACGCTCAAACACGTGCTCCCTAAGTTGTGCCAAGGTTACTAAGTACACTTTGATAATGGAGCTTGCAAGGGAAAAAAAGAGAGCAGGACCCTGTGAGGAGTGTGCTTGTTTGTACATTTCAATCGGTGTGAAGTATTGGAATCCGGGTATTCATGACGTAACTACATGTAGGCTCGCACATCTTTCTGAGAAATCTGATGTGCACAAAACCTTCTGCTGACTCTGTTGCACGCCACATCTCAATGTCCTGGTTGACTTGCTCACTTCTTCTGGCGTTGGTATTGTGGCCTTGTTTGTGGTTGCTCTTTTGAGGGTAAGCCCCAGGTTTGCGCAGGTTGTTTTGGAAAATGCTCGCCCAACCAAAGGAGTTTGATGAGAATGTGACTAAAGTTCAAACAAAATAAACATTTCAAGTAATTAGAATGTCCATCTCAAGCTAAAGTTGAAATAGGAGTTCCTTTCCAAATGTGGTTTTGCTTGAATTTTAGCCAGATTTCAAAAGGATCTAATAAAGTCAAGGCCCCTTAAAAGACTTAAACTCAAACAACAACTCGGGGAAACTGCAATGTCGGTCCTCCTAAACAGTCTACTTAAAATCCTGTCCTGTTGAATCCCGTTTAAATCCTAATTACAGTTCAATTTTATGTTATGTATTTGGACATCGTTCCGAGTTGAGTTCAAATTCAAAATAGGTCTATTTGGAATCACGTTTCGACTTGCATACTTTATGCCTTAGACTTGAAACCTTTCACACCAGTAGAGCTGAAACTGTCTGTCCATTGAGTTTCTCTTGGCTATTCACTCTGGTTCAGGGACAGGCCAATTCGTGGAAGCCCATGAGACTTCGTATTAAACTTGTTTTTAACATCTATCTACACTACCGCATTTGGAAACACCATCCTATTCAAACAGAAGCTTCAGATAGATATCCTACCCGGTTTGCTTCCTTATTAGACTGTGAATTGGATTGTCATCGAAATTGCAGCAAACCGCCTTTGGAAGGGCATTCCCTTTCCAACAGTTGCAACAGATCTCAGCAAAAAAGCAGATTGCAGCCCTGAAGGATGTGGGGGGGGGTGTCCGGCTTTGTTTTTTGTTGGTTTTCTCGTGTATTTGTTGCTTTCTGCCCCAGACTGTAAAGAACCTCGAGAAAACCCAAACAAAACAGGAACCAAGATTGTAAACGCAAGGGGGGCCTGGTGGCGGGAGCATGGGGTGTAGTCTGTTTTGTCAATTTAATGGGTTGTCTCGCGGTTTGTTTGTCTTTTCTGCCCCAAACTCTTAAACCCTCGATTGTTGTTTTTTGTTTTTTTTTGCAAAAGCAAAGCAACAAGAATGCAGACTCAAAAGGGCCTGGCAGGGAGGAGAATGGGTTGTGCAATCTTGGTGGTTCCTGTTTGCTTTGTTTTCTGTTTGTTTCATTTCTGCTCCATGATACCTCAAACAGGTGCAAAAAAATGCACTCCCAGCAGTCCGTCTTTTGTAAAACGCAAAAGCTTCCCGTACCTGTGCTTGAATGAGTTGCTTCACGGCATCCATTTATCAAGAGGACAGGTCTCTAGGGTGTGCCTCCAAATGTGGCGAACGGGATCTCCCTCCTCACAACAAGGCGTCCCTACTGCTGTGCGCGGCACCCAATTCGAAGGAATTTGGAGACCGACTCGAAGCTTAAAACTGGGCTGGCCTCAGATGCCCCGCAAAAAAGAGAGTTGTGAGTGAAATGAAAAACTAGGTCCTCCAGGAGACAGGTTAGAATAAGGGCACCCTTTTGTCTGTAGTCCCCCAAAAAAGGGTAAAAGGGCACTACTGGGGGACCTAGAAAAGTTCAACCACTCAAAGAAAAAGTATCTAAAAAGCTAAGTTGAACCGGATGGCTGGGCCCACCTAACTTTTTGTGGGTTTTCATTCACATCCAACCACCAAAAACACTACAAAGCTCAAAAGCTACGGGTTTTCTTGGAAATCCAACCACTAAACCCTAAAAAGCTTAAGTTGAACCGTATGGCCGGGAACCGCCACCCCGAAAAGCAACGCATCGAGACCCCAGACCTGGGGCCCCAGCAAGGGCCGCCGCGCCGCCGCAGTAAGCTCCTCCCGCAGATTGCCCCAGGCCAGCACCACTGGCACCACGCAGGCGCACAGCACCGCCAAGCAGGGCAGCACCTCAGCCGCGGACAGCAAAAACTCTAGGGGTACCTCTCCCATTCTTTCCAGGGATCCTTCTTTAATTCTAGAAAACCTCCAGAAACTCGGGAAAACGGCTGGGTTTCAAAAAGAACGATGGTAGAGAGGTTGGAGTAAGGGTATCCGATTTTTTGTCTCTCGTCTATTTTAGTAGGGGAACCCTCCCAACCAAGAAAGGGGTGAGAAAGGGCACCTAGCTGGGGGGCGTAGGCAAAAAACGTGGGCAGCTGGTTTCCGTTGAGCCTCCTCCCAAAATTTGAAAGAACAACTCACTTCATGAGTGGATTGGTCAACACAAAGTCCATAAGCTCAAGGAGTGAGGCAATGATTGACTACTTTGGCTTCACCTTTGCATTTCGGGTGCTACAAGCGCTACAAGTAGATACGAAACCGAAGCAGCGGGGCAGCCAGAGAGTGAGAGCCCTGCGTCGAAACTTTGCCACAAGGGCTCTTCTGCAGAACTGACCGGAAACGAAGATCTGGCCATGGGTCAAAGTCTCGTACCCCCAGTGAATGGAGTTTCCTGCACACCTGGACCTCAAATGGCATGATTCACTCTCAGCGACCTTTTTGCTTGTTCTGATTGACATTGATTGTGTTTGAGACCACCGCAGTTCTGAGAACTGGACAGCACCATAGTCTTCAGAACATGTTACTCAATCGTTTCAGGATCTCTTGGTGGGAGGGTTGTGCGACCCCCCTGTTCAAGCATGTTTATGTTAGAAATCAAACAACCTTCTGCCATGTTCTGCTTGATTGAACCTATTGTACCCAACCCCAGTCAGCAACCCTCCAACCAATCTGGAGCGCAAAGTGCAGCGTGGCTTGCTGCGCACTGGTAACCATGGCACCAACAGTCTAGAGGGCTCAGTGTGTACGCGTCTGCGAGCTTCTGGTGGCAAATGCTTCCCAATGCGGCAGGAAGAAGATTCTGTGCCATGGGCCTGGCCCGCGTCTTGAGGCTTCTTAGCACTTTAAGACTCATTGCACCTAGGGACTGTGTGGACATGTAAGGTCCAGGAAATCTCATCAACGCACTGCTGGGTATGCCGAACAAATGAGTTGAGCTGTGTGACACAAATAATACCAAACTGGCCGACCCCCGCTCAACGGCATATCGTGGACACATCCTGGAGCCTTAAAGCTGCGCGTGTGCGGTTGGCGGAGTGTCCAAGCAAACAAATGTGACTTCTACTTCTTCGACTTCCCAAATGCAAATGGTCAAGGAGTCATGGTCATGTATCCTTCACATCAACCAAGCTGCTTGATTACGCATCAGAGCGCCTGCTTACTTTTCGTAACAAAACGCATAAGGCAGCCATCGCGTCCGGAAAACTACCCGTGGTGGGGTTGATCAGTGCACTCCCAAAGGAGTCACCCACAAATGAATCATCTGAAGAGCGCCTGATTTTGGCCTGTCAGGCTTTGATTTGACGCTTGTCCCCACAGGGAGTTTATGTACAAGCCTCTATGGGAGAGAGTCACACGTTTTGGATCAACCCTGAATGTTGGCCACTGAACATCGGGACCGACTTTGGACCCCGATTTTCATGGCAGCGGCAAGTCAAACATATGACGGTGATATGTTCTAAGTCAGATCATAAGGCATACTAAGCGGCTGATATTCAACATCGCACACTCTTTGATACCAGCGCACATACTAGATGTAAAGTTACGCGCTGGGGGCGCTCAATGCACGGCAAGCGTATGGTTCGCGAAAAGAGTCGCGGCCAATCAAAGCAGAGCATCAGTCCGGCACCGACACGGTGTTGGTAAGCACCTGCAAGCCACAAAAGGGGTCGCCAAAGAAAGGCGGCTCCTCTACGAACGACGGCTTTTTTCGTCCGTTTGTCGGTTGGATAGTTGGTTGCCCGGTTGGTTGCCTGGTGGCCTGATTTGTTTCTTCATTTGCTTCTCGGTTACCTGCTATCATACTTTGCGAGTTGGCTTAGCTAGGCTAATTAGATAGTTTGTCACTTGGTACTTGCTTGGTTCGTTGGTTGGCTGGTCGGTTGGTTGGTTTGGCATACGGTCTACTTTGTTCATTCGTGAGATACTGTGGATGGACGAAATCCTGCACCACCTAAGAAGCCCTGGAATGCTGATTCCCCTGTAAATACCAACGGACCTTGTTCTCCCATGGTTTCCTTTCGTGGTGCGACTCTTGGATTTCGTCGATCCACAGCTCGCTTCGTTGCCGTCGCTTCGCCAGTCGCTCGCTTCTCTTCGTTGGGCCTTGGCAAAATCCTTGAGCTCCTGCTGCCGGGGATCCTCGGTCCTGGGGTCCTGCGCCATCAGCTCGAAGGGCACCCGCACGTCCTGAAGACTGCGTTGGAAGTTGACGCACAGGCGCTTGGAAGACTGGTGCGATAGGCAAGGGAACGTGGACATGAACCCGTTTTGGGATTTCTTAGAAAAAAGGGAAACCACCAGTTGGATGGTTTGGAAGGCTCATTCCGCATTCCCTGCCTATCGCGCCAGCAAGTCTTGGAAGACTCTTACCCACTTTCCGCTTTCCTTCGTAAACGATTCTTGCCATGCAATAACACGATTTGTTTGTTCGATCGCGCCACTCTGCCTTCTCTACCGCCACTAAAAACCAACCGACAAGTGCAAACCAATTCGGTCAGATCCGGGCGATTTGCCCGGATTGGGCAACTGAGGTTATCTTAAGAAGGCCTGTCCAAATCCGTAAGGATGACCATTGGCACAAATGGATCCCGGAAAAATAGACGGGTGTGTCTTTTTGTAATCCTTTGGATTTCCCTGTAAAACAGTAAAAACAAAAGGTACTTTCAACAGAAGACCCGCCCGTATGTGTATATATATATATGAATATATAAAAACTACAATTCACCAAACTGAAATAAGGGACTCCCAACAAAACAAACTTCCTCACGCATAAGGTCACACACCCCTTTGTGGAGCGGTCGATCGGTCGATCACCTGGATTTGCCCATTGCCATCTGCCCCTTTTCAGTCTTGAGTGGTTGGTGCAAAACAAAACTGAAACCTGATGCAAAAGTCGAAGCAGCCAATCAAAAGACACATCCAAGTGGATACTGAACATGGCTTTGGAGTGCCGTGAGTTCCTGATGGCAACCCGTGGGGAACACTGGAAATATGACCTGAAGGTACGCAAGCAACAAATCTTGAATCTTGATCCAAGTCCTGGGCAAACAAGTCCGGATATGCTCAGCTTCAACTTCAGTCAAACTATCTAAGGGCCACTTTAGCGCCGGGTTGGGCCAGCCTGATTTTGCGCATGTCAACAACAAGCGTAGTGTGAGTAGCCTCATTTAGTGCCGGGCTCGGGTCACACGGACGTGTGACCAGCTATCTGGGCAAAGCACAACTCACAAACCCGAAAGGAATCCGAAGAATAATCTTAGCTGGTCGGTTACCTGGTTGTACCTCTGGAGCTCCCATTGCCCCCCGAGAGCCGTCCTTGCTCGCCAGAGGCCCACCAGGCTCCACGACCCAGCGCAGGCCCTCTGGCAGCTTATCCGGCAGGAAGGCTGGCAGCAAGTAGCCTCCGGTCGCAGGGGTGCCCCTTTGGCACTGGATAACTGGACTGCCCTCAGATCACCTGCTAAAAGGCTAAAAGTTTAACTTCTAGTGGGTCAAATAAAAAACCCAACCACTAAACACTAAAAGTCTAAAAAGCTAAGTTGAACCGGATGGCTGGGAGCCAAGAGGTTAACCTGTCCACCTCGGATACAAACTGGGCTGTTCCCTTCAACCCCCTGCGAAAAGGCTAGCCTTGAGCCGTTTTTAATTCAAATTACCACTAAAGTGGGGAACAATACATAATCTATTAATCTGCCGGGCGTATTAGTCTTGGGTGACATGACCTCTAAAATGAATCCTGCACTTTCAGGAGAGGCCATTGTAGTCTCAAGGTTGAAACCACAGGCACGCATACACAGAACTCAACGCCTCAAGTTTGGGCACCACCCTTTGAAGTGCCGACACCAAACCATCCCCATCTCAAACTAGCCGAACTGCAAGCGTCAGCCGCCCCACTGGGCCCTCGGCCCGTTGTGCATCTTGAAAGGATACCAACGGTTTTGCCCTTCGGAGGGGTTCCAACACAAGACATGCAACCAATCCCGTGGGATTCCTACTCCGTCGGTGACCCTTGGGCCGCCCAAAGTTGCTCCTGAATCAGCCCAAAACATCGCAAGATACGCCACAAGGCATCCATGATTGACGTATCTTGCAATGTTTCCATTTGGGCGCCCAAGGTTGACGTGGTTTCAAGAGCTGCTGCAACACGGGCATCAACCACATCCGAATGCCTTATGCCCCAAGTATTCCCCGACTTTGTAACCTGGCTACAAGAGACGGGAACCAGGCAAGGATTTCTACGTGACACATTTACGATTCCGGATTCCGCACCAGAGCGCCTAGCAACCTTCCGATCACACGACATGAAGGGTTGGCAAAACCGGGGCGAGCCGGGCTCGCTGGACACTTGCCTATTGCTCAGCCGAGCCCGCCTAAAGATCGGATGGAGGCCGCTGGCTCCCGGTCAGGACCATAGAGCCTAGGTGCGCCTTCCTGGAGGGTGTCGAAATTTTTGGGGTGGGTTTGCAGGGGAAAAAAAAAGCGACCGCCAAATTTTGGTAAATTCCCTCGCAAAAACACAGAGATTACCGGCTATGGCCAACGGCCACACTGTATGTACAAGGGCTTTCCTCCCGGGCCCACCCACAAGCAGGCTCCTTGTTTGAACAAGTCGGCAACACCCGACCGTTGGACCAAGCTCCTATGCGCGTTTGCAGAGTCTTTGGAATTGAAGAGAAAGTTGAAGTAGACCCCAACCACGTGGCAGCGTTCCTGATTTGAACGCGCACACAAAGTGGTACACTCCTCATCATCATATCATCTTGATTTTCAACATTGAGTCACAACCACTAGCACGTTGCCAGTTGGTCTAAATACAGAAACATCCTCACCTAAAAGGCAGTCAACCTAAAACGCTGGCATTTACTTGGGGACCTTGTGGGAGCCTTCAAAAGGCTGTGCTCCTGGTTCTTCACGCACGGCAGCCTGAGTGACTAACAAATGGTTGGCTAGATTCACGCGAACGGCACGCGATTTACAGCAGAAAGCCCCCCAAAACAAACGTTGCGAGAAGGCGTCCCAACTGTTCCTTGCTTACTGAACCCACTTGAAGCAACGCACATATCAGCTTCGGCCGTACAAGTCTCCTCAGAATCTAAGGATTCTGACTCACAGGAATCCTTGTCATTTCCCTACGGCAACTTCATCATTGGTCCAAATCCAATGCCCAAACCAGCATGAAAACATACGGGTGTGGGTCAAACATGGGTACACACAATCTGGTGAATAGAAACAAGTGGACTTGAACCTGCGGTCCAATTCCTGGTGGTTCAATTTTGACCCATACGGCTGTGGGTCAAAACCTTGTACCCCTGGTGAACATCAAAAGTGGCAAATGGATGTTCATCCAAACATGGAGCCATAGGTTCTGCCCCATGGCCATGTCACGGAAATAGGTGGCTTGCTTGCAGGCGTGTTTCCCGCCATACCCCATACCCATGGCCCAAGTCTCTCACCCGAGGCGCTGGTTGGCGAGGCTACCCTCCACTCCGCCGTCCCGCAGCTTCAAATCCCGCGCCACCTCCGCCACCACGGCCACGCGGCTGGTGAGGCCCCCGGTGCCTCACAGCGGCGCCCTGAATACTTGGTTGACGTTGGAAGGGGAGCAAAAAAACAGATTTTAGTAGTTAAGTGGGGACTTCCCACTAAACCACAATAAGCAAAAATGTAACATGTCTCCCAACAACAACCAGGTGAAAAGCATGAGTGCTACACAGGGGGTCTGGAAAGTCTCCCTTCTGCGTGGGTTTCCAGAAATGGGGAAATCAACAATTGTTGGCTAAAAAGGTACAGTAGTGTTGCAAAAAAGTGAACTGCGGTATCTGTAACAGTCCAACAGGAGACCTCCCCGCACAATAGCGGGTGTGCTTGGTCTCCCTCCAGATACGATCAACAAGGGGTCTAAACAAACTTGAGGAGCGGGTGAACGAAAGCTAGCAGTTGTTGCATGAGATGGGTCGGTGACAGAGTGGATTCATAGGTAGCTTGTGTACAACGAGAGGCCCGGCAAGATTCGTAGGATGCGACACGCAAACGCACATGGTGGCGTGGCAAACCTTGAAAAATGAAAGCAACGAGAGGCGTCAGAAGCTGTCTTAAAGCACCTCTGGGTTCTGCATGCAGCGTGTGCAAAGATTCTTGCGAGGTGGTTTACCAAGAAGACTGAGGTCTCAAATGAACAAGCTGAATCGGTGGAACATGTAAAAGTTCGTAGCACCAAGTCCAAAACGGGCAAACCGAGACTGCTGAACACTGAGCCACTGCCCGGGGGGGGGGGGATGGACCAGGGAGGAATCGAGCCTGAGACCCGGGGGGGGGGGGGAGGGGGGGGGGTCTAAATAATTGATGTTTTTCAATCTGTTCGGCTCAAATAATTGAAAAAATCAATCTTTCGGCATTTGAGCCCCTTACCTTGCTTACGCAAGGAGAAACTTCAGCTAGCTAAAGCTAGCTTTCGTGACTTCAGTTGACCTGGCAACATATTATCCATAGCCACAGCAAGACAGTTTCCTGACAAGTGACTCGCATACGAGCTGTCTTGTGGATTCGTTGGGATTTTAAGTCCAGCAACCATTTGTTGAGGGTGTTCCTCATTTCCGTTTAGCACCAGTGACCCACCCAAAAACCTGACTTAGACCAATTTCAAGGGGAAATGATCATACACACCCCAAGCGCGAAAACAAACAAACAAACAACAAACAATTCGGCTACTTCAAAATGATGATAGAACCCCCACCCGAAAACAAACAACAAACATTTTGACTAACAATCAACAATGATAACAGTTTGACGAACAAACAAACAAACAAACAAACAAACAAACAAAGTAACGAACACTTATTAACTACTTTAAAGTGATAACAGCACCAACCAGAATGAAAACAAACAAACACAATCTGATTGCTTGTTTTTGGACAAGCCAACAAGCGGGGATACGGAGGGAGCGGGGATATGGGGGGATTCCCTTCGCGCCATTTCCCAAATCAAACTTAGTCAAGGTGCATCAAACGGGGGAACCCTCCCGTATGGTTCCCGCTGTATCCCTGCTAGTTGGTTGAGTCCGAGAATTCTAAAGCAAACTCCGCTCCAAGACGTGGCGCTCAGCACCTGCTTCCGCAGCTCCGGCGCCTCCGCGAGCTTGGCGATGACGCGGCCCGTGAGCAAGGGGCTCTCGCAGACCACCTCAACTCCAAGGCCCCCAAGGCCCGGCGATCAGGGGAAGTAGGTCCTCCAGTAGATTCGATCTACAAAACCAGCCAAACCGCTGGTTTTTCAAAATAATGGTTGAAAAGAATGGGGAATCAAACCCTACAAAAGTAGAGAGGTTAGAAGAAGCACCCGATGTTTTTTTTCTGTAGTGTATTGTAGTAGGGGAACCCTCCCCCAAAAAAGGGAACAAGGGCACTACTGGGGGACCCAGGTAATGTAACCCTGTCTCACCCGGTTTTGGTGGTGATAAAGCTTCCTCACCAACATGGTTGCATGGTTGCAGCCCAAAGTGAATTATAAGATGGGGAACTAATGTTGACCCCCACATAATGAATAACCCTAGTTCACTAATAGTGTCAACCCGGGTTTAGTGGTTGGGATCGAACCACTTTTGGAGGGGCCCCCACACCCCCTAGCAATAAACTAGGGTTGATTCAATATGGGGTCAACACTACATCGGAGGTGTGCGAAATGGATGAGGCTCGCTTGGACGGTTCCTGGTGACTGAGTCCATTGGGTTGAGGGATCCGGTCAAACATCATAATTCACAAGCCTGAAGTAAGGCACGCCTAAACTGACGCACCTTCATGGGTGAGTTCGCTGTACTCCCCCGCCCCCCTGGTGGCTCGTTATAATTTGCCCAGTGGGGTGGCCACCCCGGTAGGTGGTGAATGACCATGGTCAATACGTCCTGGTGGGATGCATAAAGCGAGATTCTTGCTTACAGGGCTTGAGGGGTATGAAGCAGTATGAAGCACAGGCACAAACTAGGCGGACATTACAATTTACTGCCTCAGCTCTTGCCCTCTTAATTCTGCTCCATATGTAGTGAAGCTGACAATGCAAACACATTTCAAATTAAATTCCCCTTGATCTGTCCACTAAATTCAGCCGTGTCACGTTGGGGTCACGGCCCCCGGTCACGCGATTGATTCTCTCCACATCGCCCTTCTCGTACCTCTCGCAATGGACACTGGCAACTTGGGTTCTTGGTCTTAAGGATGTTGAAGTGGAGAGGTTAAAGTCAAGGCGAGTCGGCGACCAATCCATTCCACCAAGGTCGCATGACTTTGACCAGCTCATGTCTCGTTTTGAGCTAGCTACAAGTCACAGCACACTACCCTCTGCGTAAGTTCTCAAACCGGACATGTCCTCTTTGTCACATGTGTCAACCCGTTCTTGGCTCTCCGCTGGCTACGTTCTTAGTGAACTACGCTTTCATCATGTCAACTGATTGGCTTGAAACTTCAAACTCCATCTGCAGGGGCGAGACAGCACCATGTGTTTCATGCCTGCACGCATCAACATAGGATGTTGTTGCTCATCTGATACTGCTTTGCCAACCATTGATCTATGCGCTGTCAAGCCTTGTCGATGCAAGCATTATTTCATACTGCTGCTTGTTGCTCAAACCGTTTGCGACCAGTGCACTCTCGCACGGGTCTTGGATCAAGTGTCCGTGTCTCAGGGAAACATAGAAATCAAATGCGAGTACTGGTCTGGTAGCTGCTCAAGCATGGTTTACCAAAACATAAGCTTTTGTATGTGGCTTTGCGGGACTCTAAACAAGCCGTTTGCAAGTGACTGGCTTTGTGAGAAACCTGCCCCCCCCCCCCCACCCGTCCCCCCTTAAGCGCCCTTAAGTACAAAGGGCAATGGGCAAGCATGGGCAAGCCATCCATTTGCAGTTTGCAATGAGACAACTGAGTTGCGGTGAAGTCCGTTGGGTATGAGGCGGGAAGAATTTTGTGCTATCTGGGCGCAAGGACTGCACGAACTCCGTGTAGACCACGCCAGGCCAGACGCTCACACAATCCACACCCAAAGGCCCAAGTTCAACCTGGCCGCTCAAACGTGGAAAGACTTGTGCCCAGTACTCTTTCACCTTCCGGATGTGTTTGCTCTGTTTCAACCATCTGCAAGGTGCATCCACAGCTCGGAAAACGCAACAGCCTACAAAACTGGATCAGCTTGGCTGAGGCGGGTCAGTGCCAATACGCACGCGGTGAGGCGAAGGCGTTCGGTGGATTTCTTGCACAAGACTCGTTCCTTCCCTGCAAACTTCCATTTGCTCAATTTCCCTGGAAAAGAGTCCAGTAGTGATAGATTCCCCAGCAAGGCATAACAATAATAATAACATATTCTTAAGCAAATGGTTGCAAACGGCCACCGATTGCACTAGACATCACTGCACAAAGCACAACAGCTTCGTTGCATGATTGACGAGTCTGAGCGAGTACACTGAGTACACCGCTATCGCAAGAGAGGCCCTTGTACTGCTACCGGGCATCATCGTGAAGGATGCCATTCGCGTATGATCATGGCCCTTGTACTCTGTCCTTGGGTTCCCTAGAACGCTCTTGCAAATGTTCCACTGTGGACTTTGCCCTTCAAAGTCGAGGCTGGACGATGCTGGGCCCTAATTTCGCAGGACATGTTTTTACTTCGTGCAACATCAGGCAACCAGGTGCGCAAAAAACATGAATGTGCGGAGTGTCGGGTGAACAGTCAACACTAGGCTGTTCTGCTCGATGCACACCGAAAGGAAACCTAGCCAAAGAACGGTGCCTGACACAAATCGGGGGTGCCAACTTGCAGATCTTCATTTTGCATTTGATCGCCCAACCTCCACCCATGCTCAAGATGCCAGCCTGCAAGTCTCGAACGAGTCGGTCGCCTAAGGGGACGTCAAGCTGGGTTGCGTGCTGACCCAGAGGAAGAAATGGTACGCTAGAACTATGCACAAACGGAATGCTGTTTGACCCCTGCAACCCCCACAAGGCATGCTGCAACAACACAGAGCAAGCTAAGTCACTGACGTGTAAGATTTGTCCAAACATGGGGCCCGCGCTTACCTCTGAAGCGAATACGCGACCACCCCCACAACTACACGGAAATAACGGTATCCCTCTCTGGAAAGCATTTTTATTGCTGGTGGCTCACTTGCCCTGTGATGCCCTGTGGCACCGGGACAAAACCACCCTTTTTCAGAGGCAAAGTGTCAGCTGGTAAATGGATAAGCCAACTCAGTTGTCCAACGGACCTGGCAATTAAAGGGTACGTTGCCTAAACATGGGAAAACACGCAGGTTGCTTAGGTCGATTCGCTTTAGGCAAGTGAGGCATATAGCTTGAGCTGGACTGGGTTGATCCATTGAAATATGGAGGCCCCAAAGTGCTTGATCATCTCTTGCTGCTTTCTTTGCGCTCCGAAGGACAACTTGTCCAATCTTAACTCCCAAAACCGATCCTGCTCAATCTTAGCACACCTCCCAAACATCCCCAAATCAAGTCATGCCAACCGCACTGTTGCCTACAATATGGAAAAACAATACCACCTGAAGCCTTCAGTTCCTTGAATGCCCCTAGGCTCCCAATTGGGCTGATGGACTCCCTGGCGGAAGGCTTGGCCCATTGGTGTTGCCTCGCATGGTACAAACAGCCAGGCCAAGCCCCCGGGTTTTTGTGGCATGTTTCCACAACTGCTTGAACATTCCGGTGAGTTTGCATAAGAGAAGCATGACCCGGTTGATGCCTTGCCACGGGTGCAAGTCAAGAAGTGGAGCCTACCAGAACCAAATCGGCCACAAAGCTTCGAACGGATTCGAGTCAGTCACACAGTTCCCAGCATGCAAAAAAACGCATGCAAGCCTACCCTAGCATTTCAGGAAGAGCCTATTCACAACTTTGGCCCTGCTGCTTGGTGGTGCCAACCCCTTTGGGCCTTAAACCTACGCCCACGAAGGCACCAACAAACGCAAAGATGCTTGATGTGGTTCAATTTGCATTTGCCAACTTTGCTCCCGACTCCCTTCGGCTGCAGAGTGCCATGTGCCGATTCATTGAAACAAACCAATTCCAGCTATGAAGTGTGGACCACTGCAGGGTTTAGGACCAGAATTGCTCTGCTGGTGTAGGTTGGTTCCGTCCAAAGTGCCTAGAGGAAGACTCCGTCCCCACCAATATAGTGTGTGCTTTCTTTATCTTTGTATTGCCTTCATCCATTGACTATCCACTCAAACTAGGAACAGGTGTTCCGAGCGGTGTTCCCATTGCATCAACCCCGCCGCATTGGGAGGTTGAAGGTCGGCCCGGCAACAGTCAGCACCTTGAAACTTCCTTCAGGCTGCTAGCAGCTTTTGCCACGCCGTAGGCAGCGGCGTAGTAGTAGGTCACCGCCGCAGGTGCCGAGGTTACACAAAGCCTTCGGCAAGGCCAGAGACTGGGTGAACTGTAATATTTCACCAATAAGGTGGTTGGGGGGCTACCATTTGGGGTGAGGTCGTGTGAGGTCGTTATAATTCACCCAGATCGGCCCACTCCAACCAACCCCCCCGCCCCCCAGCATAACTAGGTTTCCCGAAATCCGCCGACCCCTGCCCACAGGGGGAGGCGCAGGGGAAGGGTGAGAATATCAGCTCGAATCAAGTCAAGACAGAAACCCTTAGGTTTGATCCGAGGTATTCCCCACTTTCAAGGGTGGAAGCAAATAACAAAAACCATCCGCTAAGTTGGCTCATGATGGCTCATGCCCCAAATTCCATCGTCAAGGAATTTTGGTGAGCCAATCTGGCCAAGTGAAAGTGAACCACAGTGTTAGACCCGAAAACGCAAGTGCACTACCAGGGCAACAGCATCCTCGGCAATGATTGCCTGTCATGCCCGTGTTTTTTCGTGGAAGCCTCGGGACTTTCACTGGCACTCGTTGTCAGAAGACGGCTGGCCCCATTGTTGATTCCCCGCGAGTGTCTTGCCCTGTTTGGGTTGCTTTGTGGAGAAGCCAAGAGGAAACAAACCAATAAGAAACACATAGTGTGGACGAAATCCACTTCGCACCACCACAATGGTTTCCCATGGCTTCAAAGTGGTGCAGGATTTTGTCCATCCAACTGGAAAAGTGGAGAGCATTCGACACGCACAGGGAGGATAGCAACTCCTGCGATTACCACGAGGGATCCTAAAGGACTCCTTCCACTTGGTTAAGGCCCCAGGAAAAATAAATATATTTGCGGTGGTGATGAATTCCTGTTAAACCCAACAAGGGAAAATAGCAAATATTATTAAGCATATGGAGGACTCGATCCCGGCTCCCAATGACCAATGCCGATTCATTTGGCCCAGGGCACAGCGGACGCCAGCTGTCGCTGGCAGCATTGAGCAGCATGGGTGCTGCATAGTAGGAGGCGACATAGTGGGAACGCAAGCCCACGCCTAGAGTCACGGGGGAACTGCTTGGAGACTAAGGCTATGAAGCATACACTTGTTCCAAGGGGGTGCTACATGGCCGAACCCTCAGATAACAATAGCAATTGGAATCACAGGATAAGTGAGGTGCCTGCACTTGGAGTATGTAGGCAGAAGGGAAAGAAGGAAACCGCGAAAACGACATCTTCAAACCACCAAAGCTTGCCGTGACCCGTGGGCTTGACTGTCCCACACATGCAATTCAGGTCGCAACCAGCTTACACGTCCCTCACTGTGTTCAGAAACAAATGCGTGAGGCAACTGACACCCAAACAGGCTTCAGCAAATCCAATTAGAGCCCACCAGAGCCGAAATATGGTACTCTTGGACAACTTGTCTTCATCTACCCAGCCCCAAGCATCCATGCAGGTTTTTTGTAGCTTGGCCCCAAAGCGACCAACCCAAACACTCAAATAGCTTGCATGACGGGATCCTCAAGGCTGCTCCAAATAAATTACACATTGACATAAACAAACATGTCTTTTGATATCTACTTTATCATCAAACTACATTGCATCATCCAACTGAATCCAGGTTTTCTTCGTTTTCTCCCGGCCCGAAAGCGGAACATGTTGGATTCCATTGCGGCTGTCTCTCGCTATGTGCTGAGCTTCGATGCACGTCGTCCCAGACCTCCAAGGGCAGCTCGAAGAATTTGGCGCCCTGCCAGCCCGGTGCCCGGTTTTTGGAAGTGAAGGAACCCCATGTGGCTGTGGGTCAAATATATGTACCCAAAATGGAAGCCTGGTAAATGGAAACATGGACCAAAACCTGGTGGCTTCATTTTGACCCATACCCAGGCCGGAAGCAACAACCATGGCAACGCAGAACGGCGTGCCAAAACCATGTCCCATGAAGACAACCCAAACCCATTGGCAACCCGTAGGCAACCCATAGGCAACCTGCTTGATGGAAAAAGAGGGCTTGGTAATTGCTTCACATTGATTTGTTTGTGACTTCAGGAGCCTGACCCAGAAAGAAGGGTGCCGCTGAGCAAGTCGGGGCTCGTCAGGATTCGCAGCGCTTTAAACAAATCGTGTTGAGAACCCCTTGGGCACTTCCAGGAACCTTCCCACCACGAGATTCTTGTGGGACCGATACATCTACTTGGGTGCCTTCAGTCCAAAGGAGCCATAAGGAAATATCCGCAAAGACACGTCCAAATGGCATGTGTGAAGCTTGAACAGCGACTGGCTCGAAATCAAGCATCTGGAGGGGCCGGCCCCTTTTTGGGGGCAAACCCCCACATCCCAACACATCACATACAGAAAATGTCGACTCTGTGCTGGTTTTGACCTCTTTAAGAGCTCCGGGGCATCCCCCCCAGTCTTAGGTCAGCATTCTGGAAACCAGCAGTGATACGAGCAGATTGCCCCAAAAAAACAAATCCAATCATCGTCTTTCGGCCGAACTTGACAGGTGAGTTTGGCTCCTTTGGAAGTTCTTAACCTTCCTGGTGAGTAGGAAATGACCAGCGTGTTGGACATGAACCTCAGGATTCCCTTAAAGGCAACCATTCCTCAGGTTCATTCCATTTCTCCTTCCCCTATTAAACCAGCCATGCACCTTTCCAAAGACGTGGCACGGCCCAAAAGCACGCTGCAAAGCCCTTCCGCCGCCATGCGCGAGGAGTCCCTCCCAGTAAGTCTCCGTGCCGTCCGTGCCTTGCTGAGCAGCTGGTCGCTCTGGGGATTCTTCTGCGCGGGATCTTGGAAGGCGTTGTTCACCAAGACATCCAGCTTCCCCGCCTGCATTGAGCTCGTGCGAGACCCCAGACGAATCCGTTTGGTTCTGTGGACAACAAATCTGGGCTGCCCGTTTTCAGATCCCCCGCTGAAAGTTTAACTTTTAGTGGGCTAAATGGAAACTACCACTAAACACTAAGAAGCTAAAAGGCTAAAAGGCTACAAGGCTAAGGGGATGGCTGGGAGCCACCAAGAAATGACAATCAAAACCAAGGTGTAAAGGCTTCCTTCTAGCACACACACTATGAAAACAAATCCAAAGTAGAAAGCAGGGCAAGTTGCTTCTCTAGGGTTTTGGTGGTGCCACTGCGATATATGGCACGCACAACTGAACATCAAACTGGAACCTGGCAGTCAAAAGCATGCAATAGGTCAGCTGACATCTTCGAGGACACCATTCATTGCGATTCCATGTTAGTTTTCCTCGGACAAGACCCCACTGCCAAGAAAGAAATGTAACGCCCTTATCAACAATGCGCACAGTGGTAGTGTGTGTGTCCTATCTCATGTGCTGCCCTGCTCATTTGCAAGAATCTGCCCATGTGGGGGCAAGCACATGTGGAAGCGAACCTCCTTGTCAAGACAAGGTAACCAGTAACCCCGCCAGTCAACAGCATGCCACATTTGTTGGGAAATACAATGGAAGTACTCGTGTCAGCTTTGGAGAAAACGTAAATCAAAGTCCGGGGCTGAAGTTCATGATGATCAAAACGCCAAATGGGTCACTCAAGAATCACGATGATAAGCATCATCAGCTGGCCACTGACAAACGACCACAGCGGCCAACTGATACCCAATGGGCAGCATGCTGGCTGCCTTCGGAACAAACACTACACGTAAGACCACACAAGGGCATCGGCCGTCAACACTAGTCGTAAGATGGAGACCGGCAAACTGGCAACTGGTGCAGCCTCCGAAGTCGTAGATCAAGGTTTCAATGGGGATCATAGTAAATGAGAAATTATATTTACACTGACATGCAGGTTGCAAGACAGCCTCGCTCTCTCAACCAAGCGCGCTTGCTGGTTGCAATGCCTCCTTTCCACAAGCGTACAAGTCATCGTGACTTCCTTGTGAACAAATCGCAAAAAACAAATCGGGCAACGTTCACGTTGGTCAACATAGGGGACGATGAAGTGGTCCAAGCTCACATGCCAAGCGGGTAGCACAAAAACAACAAACAAACAACAAACAAACAAACACAAACACAAATTCAAACACAAGCACACAAACACACAAACACGCAAACACACAAATGCTAAATTGCGTGAGGTTTTGGGCCTAAGGGGCTGAGTTTTTCCATCCACCCGAAGCAGGATTGTTGGCATGAGAACACCGCAGAACACCCAGGATGTTTTGTAAAAAATAAAACTCGCTTGATCCGCCTTGATCCAAGTGGTTAAACTGCTCTTTTTGTGGGGGGGGGGGGGGGGATGAGAAGGGATTGCTCAATGAGTGCACATGTGCAATGTATGGATGCCATGGGATTCAATTTAAATGGTTTGAAATTTGAGCGAGGGTTCCCGAATTAGCGCGTGGACCTTGTTAACTGCTGGCTTTGCCAACGGGCGCCGCAGAGACTTTGGGCTCCGGCTCTTAGAAGCAGCTGTGGGCATCCATGGCCCAATGGCGTCTGTTGCGTTTCTGGGAGACGCAGCGCATGGCGACATTCACGTGATAGCGCGAGCACCAAAAACTTGCTTGCAACTCAAACCTTCGCCCCGTTGGGCCCCATTCTGCCCTATTGCAGTCTTTGCACGGAACCCGAGGACAAGGCTGCGGAGGCTGACCAGCTCATTGAGGCTATCGCATCAGCCAATAAGCCACAGAGTCGCAAACTGCTGGTTTCCCGCACCATGGGCGGGAGAGGATACAGCTTGATGGGGCTGATCCGTGCTGTTTGTTGCTGGGACGCAGGGAAGGGTGGGGAGCGCTGCATTTTGATTTGCGCATTCAATCAACCCAGGCTTCTCACTCATGCTGCGGAACGCTGGTAACCTGCAGAAAGCTGTAAAGCACGCGCTGGCGTTGGAATCTTGCCGAAACACAACCGGCATCGCTAAATTGAAAGAAACAGTCTTATATGGTTATGGTTAGTTGGTTTTGCTGTTTGCTTAAAACTTATTTTCTCCGAAGCCAGTCATCAACCAACCGGAATAAGTGCGACCTGTTGGCTGATGGCTGGCCGGCAGTTGTGATTGTTGGGAAGGGCAATGAAGGCAACGAACCAGTTGGCCCTTCCCTTGTCCATTCTGCCCAGCCCAGGTGTTTGACGACACGACTTACCTTCGCCTCCTGCAGGACTTGCAGCAGGTTCCCCACGCTTCGACCTTGTCCCGATCACTCCTCAAGATTGACATTGTCATGTGCCTGCAGCAGGCTTAGTCTTGAAGGGTTGCCACTGCCACAGCGGGCCGGCTACCGATTTCCACCCCTGAATTTCCTGCAAAAAACCTCGGGTTAGGGCCCGGTTAGGGTTAGGACATGACCGGGGAGGAGGAGGAGGCCCCCAGGAGGCCCCATTGAATTATTATGGGGTGTGGAATGAACTGTAGTGGAGTGGCTGTGGAAGTGATGTGCTGCCCGGCGGGCTGCCGGCTCTTGATTAGTGCTCACATTTGTCAGCTTGCAAGGATGAGGCAACGTCATCTATCACAAGCTGGATGGCGCCAACATTTCTTGAGCTTGGTGACGGACGCAAGCCCCCAGGCGGGGCAGGACTACCAGCTGACACAGATGGAGAAGATTTCCCTCGAAAAGCTTGGCTTCCGTTGTTAAACTCTAAAAGGGCTCCTGGCTCCTGCGTCAAGTGCTTCATGCCACTCACGCCACGCCTGTCGCATCCTGCTGCGCTGGACATTATGTTGTGTAGGTCTGTCTGAGTCTGACCATGCTTGTTTTAAGCAAGCTCAGCTCAACTCAACCTCATGTTGTTTTGGTGCCAAGTGCCAAATGACTCAAAAAGCTGCTGAGTCATCACTATCCAATCAGCGTTTACTCGTACAAAGAAGGGCGCACACCAGGCCCCCGCCAGCATGAGGAACTGTGTCACGTCCGTCACGGAGTACGTGCGCAAGTGCATGGAGAGCAATGAGGCCATGCTGGGCTCGGCGCTCCTGGAGTCGGTCGCCGACTGCGTCGCACACCAGGCCCCCGCCAGCATGAGGAACTGTGTCACGTCCGTCACGGAGTACGTGCGCAAGTGCATGGAGAGCAATGAGGCCATGCTGGGCTCGGCGCTCCTGGAGTCGGTCGCCGACTGCGTTGACTGCTGGCGGTGCACGTCATCAGCTTAGGTGGGGAATTGGCCGGCGGGCGGCGTGACAGTTCACGGTCATTGTTCGAGGTTGTTGTCTAGGGTCGCGCTGCCCTGACATGCCGGACATCCAATCTCCAGTCAAGTCAAGTCTAGCCCGGAGTCCGGCCAATCCGTTCCTCCCAAAATCGAGTTTGACTGCACCTCAGTGCAGTGCAGTGCCATGGTTGGTTTAGTGGCTGGTGGGTGTGTCATTCGCTATTCCTGGTTATCGCCTTTTTTGGGGTTGGTTTAAACGGAAGAGAAAGGGTCGCTTTCTGTGAGCATTGTGGTGTGTGGTGTGGTGGGGTTCTTTCCAGAAAGGGGCGTTTTGAGTCTTTGAGTGGTCGTGAGTGTGAGCGTTGGGAGACGTCACCCGGCACTGGGCACCCTCTCAAAGTTCCTTTCCCTGGTTCCCGGTTTTCTCATGGGCTATGGATTTAGATTGGCCAGCCAGCCAACTCAGCCAACCCTCCATTTTGAACAGCCCAGCAGCCCAGCAGAGGCTAGTTCTGGAGTTTTGGGGTCAATGTGTGTTGAGTTAGCATTTCTCTTGACTCTTAATGGGACGCGTCCCGTTTGAATTTCTTGGATGCTATTGATAGGTTCATTGGCAAATTTGAGGCAATTAGGTTCCTTGACTCCTTGTTTCCTTGGCTCATGGGTTTGGACCGGACTTATTGGCTCATTGGGTATTCCTGCACTCCTGGACTCCTGGACTCCTGGACTCATGGACTCATGGACTCATGGACTCGAGTTCATGGTGTTATGAGTTAGGACGTTATGTTAAGTTAAGTTATGAGATAATATATGTTCTTGTCTATATTTGTTCGCTCGATGCATTGGTTCGCTGCGCGGCGCATAGATTCCCGGATCCGTGTTTGATTCGTTGTTCCAGCGATTCATTGACTCTGCTGTGGATCACGGATACATTGGTTCATCAGTTGAGTAAGCATCTTCGGGATGGGGTGAGGTGAGAAGCGCTTCCTTTGCCGCATTTGCCCTTGGCCCTTGGCCGCCTTGGTCCTTGACACCCTTGTATTGAATTTTCGGCCCCATCACTTTCACCCGCCACTGGCCACCACCTCACCATCCCTGTGCTTTTTAAGGCCATGCGGCCTGGGATCCGGATGCACGAGCCTTCCGTTCAAACTCGGGGCGCTTCTTCATCAACTTCGCCTACAAGTTGGGTCTGACTCATTGAAGGTCGCTTCCCTACGGGTTATTTCATTCTTATCAGACTTTGGCACTGAGTCCAGGATCCCCGCTGCAACTTGGACTCGTCTCAACTCTCGAACAACGATACCCGGGTCGGACGGGTGTCCAAAAGCGATGCCGGCCCAAAAAAAATACAACCTGAGAAATCTGAGAAATCCTGAGAAACATATTGAACAGCGATCCGGGACTAACGTCGCAATGAATACACCGTAATACATTTTTCGACTAATTTTGGCGCTGACTGATGTTGGATTGCTGCGTTGCCTTGGTTGAGAGCTGGCTGGAGTAACAGTTCAGGTAGCAAGTTGACCAGCGGCTGGAGGGGATGTGTAGGTAGATGGAGAGAACAGGGGGCCAGGGCTGAGGGTGATCGTGTGATCAGCTAGTGCTGTTCCAGTTCCCAGCTCGCACGTTAGTTTTATTGTTCCTGATTTCCGAGGCAAGCGGTGTGGACTTCGCTGCGCTGACAGAAGGGGTGTTCTGCGAGAGC